AATCACCAAAATAGGAAAATAACACTTCCTACCAGTAAACTGCAACAATATCCTCTAAGAAACCTAAAACAATACATCTGTAATGAACAAAAAGACTAATCGTTTGAAATGGAAACACAAACTCTGTAATGGAAGACTAATCGTTTATCAAAAGCTAGCAAAGAGCGCGCGAGAATGGTCGCCGAGCGTACAAAACGGCATTCAAAGCATCCCAACACAGCAGTCATAGCATCCCGAAACGGCATACAAATCGTCAAAGATGGCGGCGAGGGGAGACGAATAGGCTTTGGTACATAATGTTTTTCGTCACTATGAGTCTAATCTTGAAAATTTAATATCGGGATGTAGCGCATAAACCCCCTATTGTAGTAAGCTTCAAACCTATGTCCATACTTCTCAGTGTCAGGCTTGCAATTCTGCACAATGTGGTCCCTCGTTCGACCGAACAGGATTTGTTGTCAACATGCCGTGCTACTGTTTCTTTTCAGTTTTGTAAATAAAGTATTCATAGGATCACATTCAACATTAATATATTTTAGTGATTTAAAAAGTTCATAAAAACTTTGTTCATACTCCTTGAATTGCGTATCTGAGTGATCATTATTACTTTGACTTCCCAAAATGCTTTTTTTTAAATTTCTCAAACTTGTATTCACAGATTCCTAAGAGAGACGTGTCAGTCCTCTCGTCATCTGTGTCCTCAGACATATTCTTCTTTGTTTGTATGTTTGTATGCCACCGCTTCACACTGTACGTATGGTCATGTTCTCAGACGAAGATCTTCTAGTTTCATCTTACTTTTATGAAGTCATTAAGTGAATATATTTCTTTCAGCTATCTCTGTGATACCGAACCTTCCGAAAATTCCAACGTTTGAGTGTATGCCATGTAAAAAGAAGTTAAATAATCGGGTAACATTGCGATCTCATCAGAGAAGGAAACATAAACTTGCTTATAATATCAACTGTGAATTGTGTTTCAGGAAGATTTTATCATTCTGCAATTTTATCTTTTCCATGTACTTCAAACTATTCCATGCAGTCCCAAACATCATTTAACAAAAAAATAAAGCTTAACTTGAGGTACAAACATGCGTCCGTCTTTGTTCTTGTAAGTATCAAGAAGTCGCCTCCTACAGGTGGACTTGAAAAAGAAATCCCTGCCCTAATCAGTGGATTGAGTTTGCTCTCGTACTTTTTAAAAATGATCACTTAGATAATATTATGGAATTCACGGAGAATGAACAAAGTGTTTGTAAACTTTTTAAATCACTAAAATATATTAATGTTGAATGTGATCCTATAAATACTTTATTTACAAAACTGAAAAGAAACAGTAGCATGGCATGTTGACAACAAATCCTATTCGGTCGAACGAGGGACCACATTGTGCAGAATTGCAAGCCTGACACTGAGAAGTATGGACATAGGTTTGAAGCTTACTGCAATAGGGGGTTTATGCACTACATCCCGATATCAAATTTTCAAGATTAGACTCATAGTGACGAAAAACATTATGTACCAAAGCCTATTCGTCTCCCCCTCGCCGCCATCTTTGACGATTGTATGCCGTTTCGGGATGGTATGACTGCTGTGTTGGTATGCTTTGAATGCCGTTTTGTACGCTCGGTGACCGTTCTCGCGCGCTCTTGTTGCTGATACGCGAGTTTTGTTTCCATTTCAAACGATTAGTCTTCCATTACAGATGTATTGTTTCGGTTTTAGAGGATATTGTTGCAGTTTTGGAAGTTTATTTTCCTATATTGGTGATTTTTGTTCTGTTTTGGTGTATATCAGTTCAGTTTTGATGATTTGTTCACCGTTTGTATGGTAGGCCTGAGAATGTAATTCGAAGATGAGTAATTCAGTGAAGATAAGGTGTTACAATCATGCTCTTAGATTTGAATTTTTTAAAAAGATTTATTATACTTATTGTTTGGCCCTGCTATGACAGATTAACAAGAACGGCGTTTCTATGATACAAATATCATTTACTGTGACGAGAGTGTTGACATCAGCTAAGAGAGTGTCTTGTCTATATCCTCTGATTGTGTTTATAAGCATCATGTGGCACTCATATCTATTCTTATCTCCAGAATATATCAGAGTGGATTAAGTCAGTACGTGATGCTGTCATTGTTAGAATGCACAAACTGTCTTGCTTCTCTGCATGAAAAGTTTGTAGTTATTACCACTGACAAGCCATCAAATAACACCGCTATATATAAACATCATTACATACATTGTTTGATTAAAGAGCTTGGTATACGTGACACATCAGGTAATGCCACATTTTAGGCCAGTTTGTTAACCGAGGAAGAACTCTGCTAAACCATTCAACGATGCTATCAACGTTTGGCTTCACTTTGAAACCTGAAGACATGTTCATTCTTTTTTTGTACTGGATTCCAAAGCTACATAAAAATCCATACTGGGTCCAGTAAATGTACAACCAAATCCCTGTCCCAAACTATAATCCTTAAGGCTATCGAGGAAGGAATTTCTCGATATTTCTAGAAAGTATTAGAAACAAGCAGAATTAACACCATGTGGATTCTCTAAACCTCATAGAATCTGCTTTCATTTTTTACAATGTTTTCAATGTTATATACCACTGCCCCACATGACAAGCTTAAGGAAAAATTTCATTCCTATGTGGCATTTTTAAACAAACATGGTGAACACAGATATACACATATCTATCTTCAGAGTTTCAGGACAATTTGTCAAAACCCAAAGCAAATGTCATTTGAAGTTTACCGAGAAAACAACATGAGAAATGCTGGACTTGGTCCATGATAAAATCTTTGTAAAATTTGGGGGGTAAACATTGCGACAAGAAATAGGCATACCCATGGTCACCAGTTGTGATCCCCTCCTTGCAGATCTGTTTTCTTTATGCATGGATTAATCCGAATTTCTGCTTTGGTAGGCAAAATCAACACAAAGATAATTTGGCCAAGAAGTTTACCTTAAACTTTAGGTATATTGGTGCCTTGATATCTTTCATTCACCATCAAATAGAGAACACCCTTCCACTGAATATCGACCCGTGAAGGTCCGGGTTAGAATACTGGCCTTCAGTAACACATACTTGTCGTAAGAGGCGACTAACGGGATCGAGTGGTAAGGCTCGCTGACTTGGTTGACACATCTCATCGGTTCCTAATTGTGCAGATCGATGATCATGCTGTTGATCACTGGATTGTCTGGTCCAGACTCAATTATTTACAGACCGCCGCCATATAGCTGGAATATAGCTAAGTGCGGCCTAAAACTAAACTCACTCACCCATTCCACTGATTTACCCAGCTGAACTTGAAATCAAGCAGACAAGCAAGACCGCCTAAGCTGTTTCATATTTAGATCTATGCATAAAGATTCAAAGTGACAAAAACCTCACACCTGCATATGTTTATAAAGTTAATGTGATGTTTGTCACAACATATTACTTTTCAACACTAGGTAGTAGTAACTTTTAGCTTACGAACAAACGAGTCTACACCATAAAGTCTCTGTATGCAATAAACACTCTTGCTTGACAACGGTACAAGAATCTGTATCGAAACGTCGCACTCACCACATAAAGAAGTTGTTATCCATAAAACTTGTTCTATAATAAACAAGAAGTTGTTATCACTAAAATCGTATGCTTTATCATTAATAAGAGGCTTTATTGTGTGTTGTTAACTCCGACGAATGAGATCACGTGGTTGGTTAGAGGTTTTTGAACAGGCGAAAAGTATAGTTTGCAGAAAACGTACTATGATTTGTGTTCAGCTTCCAGGTTCAATCATATATTGTTGAAACAATCAGTTTCCTGGAAAGTGATATTTTCCATCTGAGAAACACATGTACTTCCCATCACACTCTATGTTATATTTGAGGAGAAAATCAATTGACAATGCCACACTTACCGTTTTCCTGTTGACTGTAAAGGAAAGATAAAAACAACCTGAATACCTGCATAAGAAATTATTACATGCCATTGCACCATGCTGACATTATAAAGATACGAAATGTTTACAATCATTTGTAATAAAATCACTTTTATACAAAATCATTTATTTCCCAGAACATTCTTGAGATCAAATTAGTTTATTGTCTACCAAAAACTAAATGTTATTACAAGTATATTTTGTTGCATCTTATTTTACAGACGTAGCTGACGAAATGTCTTGTCTCTTTTCCAAATCCTAGGGACTCCACCCTCCCTACACACAAGATTCTGTTTAAATGGAATACGTTTTTCCCACCAAAAAGCCTGCATAACAGCAAAATATATTTTTGCGTAGGGCTTACATGAACCGGCTAAACAAACATTCAGGAATATGTTACTAGACGCATTCTCACCGTTTATATATTGCAAATAGTGGCAGGAATAATACCAGCAAACCAACAAGGGCAACCAATGCTGCCCACAGTTTTGGTGAACTCTCAGTTGCCGTTCTTGTGTGCCCTTCCTCTGTTTCTGTGTACAGATAATTACAAGACTGATAACATAACCAATTGTCGCGGTTCTTCCTAAAACGATAAGTGTATGTGTTTGATATATATAAATATGTGTCACACACACACACACACACACACACACACATTGATGAGGCCCTTTAAACGGAACTGTACATCCCTGTTCGTTAATTCTAGTAACCAGGATACTGACAAGCCTTCCCTGCACGTCAATGTATATCGCCAAGGACCAGCATGTTGTGGGGATACAGATAAACATCTAACAACATGACTACTCAATTAACAAGAAGTGATTTGGGTTTGAAATAGTTCTTTTCAGGACATAACCGTGTCTTCACATTTTATTCCCAGTAATGAAACAAATACTATTAGATTCATGTCCATATGATATTGGAAAGAAGTTTAGGAAGGAAAAGGCAGATTTCTATTACGTCTGATACTCTGTATGGTAAACCATGCGGTTTGCTTGACAGAGGTGATATGTCACTTTTGAGAAGGGGGCACACATATTTCATATATTCATTTTATACCTTCACAAAACGCTCCTCTCTTGCCAGCTTTGCATCCAGATGTGCATGCTCCATCTTGGTGATTGCAGATGTTGTTTACACAGTTCTTGCTGCACTGTTTGTTGCACGTGTCATCATACCAGCCTGGAATACATCCTTCAAGACAGCGTCCACTGGTCTTGTCACAGTAAACAAGGCCGCCAGCAGGATATACGTTGCAGCGCTCAGGACAGTTTGTGTCACAATCGTCTCCGTATCTTCCCGGTGGACAGAGTGCGCCACATCCAACATTCAGTACTAGAACATGTTGTAAACAAATATGTAGCCAGGAAACGTCATAGACACGATCATTAAATTCCCTTATTTATCTCTCAAGAACTGATCTACTTATAATTACATTTGAAAAGTACGTGGTACGCGTGACTGTTTAACAGAGATATTTTGAACTCACTCAGTATAGTTGATATCAAGCTCAGTATCAGCATTTTGAAGTGATGCACTGCTCTTTCATCTTCCATCTGCAATGATATATTGTATGTGTGACATTTTTTTCGGGGTCACAATAGGTTGCGTTGACATTATCGATCCGTCTGTCATAGTTTGAAAGGCATTTACATGTTCACCTTAGTGACAATGTATATTGATGATGTCGCATTGTTTTATTATTTAGTATTTTTTTATTATAGGATATTTATATAGCGCACATATCCAGGCAACTAGTTCATGCTCAAGGCGCTGGTATTTTCCCTCGATCATTGGATGTCAATCTCAACGGTACATCGTATTATCAATCTCAACTCCCTGGGGAGTATACAACTCTTGCAGCCACTAGGCGCACCAAGTTATTGTGGCTTTCTCATCCTAACGAGGTACCCATTCACAGCTGGGTGGACTGGGACACATAGTCACAGTACTTTGTCCAAGTTCACTGCACGTTGCTGTACCCGCAACTAGGTGTTTGCACGTATTCATGTGGCCACCATCTGGTCATATACCAATGGATTCGTGGGTTCTTTTAAGTGCACAGGGTTGTGTACTGTACACTAGGGGTATTGTTGCGTCAATCAATGGGATTACACATGCGCCGAAATGGTTATACTCAATTCAAACTGCAGTGTCTCATGTAAGTTAAAAAATTTCCAAGTTTTCCTAGAATTGACAGTGGCCGAATGGATGATGTAAATCCAACTAGGATCCATGCAGGTAGCAAAGTTACAGTATGGCCTCATGGTCCCTAGTATAGTGATCAGCCTTCAGTTGTTGGTGATCTATAACCCGATTATACATTGTATTGTCTATAGTAATATATTTTTATGATAGCTTACTTGTTTTAAATTAAGAGCTGTGATATACTAACGTATTATCAGAAATAGGAAAAAAACTTATTTTCACATTTACATCTACAATTAAGGTAGTTAATATGTGAAAGTGCGAAATATCTGTTTTACTAAGTTCGGCCTAACTACAGTCTCAGTGGGAGGGAGATAGGAAACGTAAAAGAAGGACTTTACTGAGGAGAGATTAGTGAAAAAATTAGCAGAGCGGGGTTTTTTTAAAGCCCAGTGCGACTTATGTAGTACAGACCAGGGCTTTATGCAGATTAGTGTGCGATAACATTGCATTCAACCATGGATACGTGAAATGCTCGAATTTGATTGGTCAATCCATAAAATCAGATGGTATCAATTCGGATTGAAAATACGTCTGATTGCACGGCGCTTCACTGCACACGTTTACAACACTGCCGCACTATTTCAGCTTGACCACCAACATGACTCATATGAACACAACAGATGTGATGGAAATGCTGATGAAACATTTATTAAAACTCGAAAAATACAATTATACGATTTCTCCGCCACAATTATTAGGGAACCTCACTATCTTGATTATTACCTTCTATTATATAAATATTCAAACTCAATTACAATACACAACCCCAAACATAAACAAACAATACCTAACATATAAATCAGAAAACCTTGTAAAAATACATCCCTATCTATCCCTGTTTGTGCGGCAAAACGTTCATACACATTTATCTACCTGGTAAATGGTATATTTGTTTCCGTTTAGAATGAGAAATTCGCAAGATAATGGTCAGGCGAAACACGAAATTTAGGCCACTCATACTCCATCATGTGCCGTTGCATCGTTCAAAATGTCAAAAATTGAACCCTGAGAATTCCGCTCTCTGCCACCTTCCCAGCAAGGCTGTCACTGCTATGTTCGTACACTTTTAAAAGCTTGGCCACAAGCCAGTCCAAAATGATGAGAATAATGTTCCAAGGAATCCCAAGTTAGTCGCATGTACACAAAGCAGCACTGTCACTCTTTCGTTGCATGCAGGGGTGGAGGCACGTCATAAAAAGCAACAGTCTTTGATGAGTTACAGGTCATAGGTCGATCAGAAAAGGATGTATTCTTCGATTCTGCAGGGTTCAGTTTCGACAGTCAGTCAAGTATTTTCCACTGTCACTTCGAATTTCAACCTTTCGCAAAATGTAAACACTGGCTCGTCTGCCATTTCAAACTGTTGCGTAACTGTTTACTTCCAAGAAAATAAGTAGGTCAGACGATTCATTATAGTGTGACCAGAGGGGTACAGTAACACGGCACACAAAACAATAGGCTGGTTTTGGTCGTGTCGAGTTGTGATTATGAAAACCAAGCCCTTGGGTGAGTAGTATATACAAAAGGGGTACGAGATCAATTCCAACAAAAGACCCTGTAAAGCCTCATTTATGAAATAAAGCTTTTGTCAGGCCCTTATCTCTCTCCACTATTGTATATTCCTGGTTTGAACCCCCAGTTAACTTCCTGGTCACTAGGGGCGGTGGAGTAGCCTAGTGGTTAAAGAGCTGGCTCGTAATGCCGAAGACCCGGGTTCGAATCCCCAAATGGGTACAATGTGTGAAGCCTATTTCAGGTGTCCCCCGCCATGATGTTGCTGGAATATTGCTAAAAGCGGCGTAAAACCAAACTTCCTGATCACGTGATGCTATTGTCGCCCTATGTCGTGTTGACCCCGAGGAAACAGTTTAATGTGAATTGCCTATGAGCTGGTTATAGGAGACTATGTGGATTACTCAACAAGGTTAGTGTTAAATATTTTGCTTGAGGGATAACATTGTGCCGTATGGTATGATCAACAATTCCTCTCTGATGAAACCTCTCTCTGGCCCATCTTTCAAGTAGTACAAGTTCGGCTCGTCGGCTTTATGTCCACTTTATCTATGTTGTAAGTTTTGACTGACCATGTCGGGTTGGTGGCTCGTTTAGGAGTGTCCCCTTCATGTTCTCCCGGCTGGTAGAGGTACCTTACGAGGACCCGGTCGGGTATCTGTTTCTCCTTCCCACGCGATGGTACAGCCGGTTCGGTCGTCACTGATTTCAGTTTGATAGCATCAGCCGGTTTCTTGCAGGTGAGCCGAGTGATTTCGTTATTGATAGACAACACCACTTGAGGTAGCCGCGCTACCCATTCCATCGATCATTTTCCGGGGTTGGCCATCTCTCTCGCATACTGATGCCCGAATAAGCGTTCGGCCAAAGTCCTATTGAATCTCTCGACTATGGCTTGACTGCAATGAGCCCCGGCCGTGTCACGCCGGGCCTGGACGCCGTGTTTAGTTAGCAGTTGTGACACGGCACCCATGAACTCCCTTCCGTGATTGACTTGCAGTTCCATGGGCCATGTCAGCAGGCTGCGCTTGTTTATGCATTCGAATCCGCGGGCTACCTGGGCCAAGTCTTTTGTGGTTAAGGGTTTGGCTTCTTTGTAGCGGCTGGCCACGTCAACGACGGTAAGGGCGTACTTGTACCTCTTGTCGTGGGGTAGGAACAGGAGGTCGGCCTGGTGGGCGATATTGCTGTACGGCAATGCGGAACTTTCTTCTAGGCACGAAGCGTGGTGCCGGCAAATAGATCTGCCACCGGTCTTGTTTTTCAAGCCACGCTTTGGCCTCGTTCAGGGGTACTCAGCTTATGTATGGCGCTCACTCCTTTCCAGTACCCACGAGGGCTATAGTAAATACCCTCAACATTTCTCGCTTTCCATGACATCGTATACATACAGCTATGTCTTTGGTTCAGTTTTCTCATGCCCGTACGCGTACGTGTTGATTCCATCGGCGGCTTTCGTGTCCATCGGCGACAGGGATGTCTTGTTTATCATCAGTCTGTATATCCTGTGTCCTTCGTTTCTTAGCATGTTTATCTGATGCTTGAAGGTGCGGGCCTTGAACAGTGCCTCCTTGAACCTGGCGTGTTTGTTGTGTAGTTTCATCATGTACTTCTTGACACCCTTCGCCTTCCAGATCTCGCTATTGTCAGCTTTCAGGATAGAGTACATCTTGGGCCTCAAGTTTATGTACTCAGCGATCAGCGTGCCAGCACACTCGTCCTTCATCTTACCGAGGACCTTTTTGTTAACCGTGCTGTGCATGGCATGGTCTTTGGGGTAGTCACTGGTGTCGTATAAATGGATGTGTTCTGCCATGTTCTTGTACACATCTTCGGTTCGAATCTCCATCAGCAGGGAGTCCGTGTCCGTGTTCAACACTTTGCACCTGTCACCGTCCTGCTTCTTCAGCTCGTTGTAGTAGAAGTCGTACATCAGGTGCTTTGAGAGGTCGAGGATGCTCATCCCAACGTAGACGGGCCGGTTGAACTTGATGTGGCTCTTCCTCATGTGTAGGGCCACCAGATCGTTGGTGAATATCTTGCTCTGGTTGAATGCCGGGCTGGCTATCAGTCTCCTGAGCTTGTCTTCCTCTTTCACCCTGACCAGCTTCATGGTCACGCATTTTCGCAAATTCTCCATCGTCTTACCAAACACCGAGTTGTTCATGAGCTTGTAGAGGCTCTTCTCAAAGTCACTGGTGGCCAGCTTTCGCAGGTCCGTGTTCGTTCTGATGTAGGGCTCCATCCAGGGGCTTTGGTTGAACTTGAGCACCCTATGAATTTTAGTCACCTCATACCCAGCGACAGGCACAGCTGCAGGTTGCGATAGTGAACGATGTACTTGGTCTTGTTCATCAAGTTGGGTATGAGTTTTTCAACGTTGGCTAGCTTATTACCCCCCACCCTCTGTTGGTAGTCGGACATCCAGTCAGGGTTCACCATCAAAGGGGGTAGCCATTGTGTGACATGTGTAATGGTGCTGGGTACTCCAAGTCAACTTCGAGGATGTAACCTGCCCCCGATTCCAACGGTATGCTCATGACGTCTGTCTCAGGCACCCACTCGAACCCCCCGGTGGGTAGATACTGGCTCATAGTCCAACCGTACAG